GATCTTGGGCACACACGCACACGTGCCCAGTGTGAGTTTTAAGCCACTGGGTCCAGGACGTGAACCACGGTCAACTACGTGGAAGTCCAGCAACATAGCCATTACACTAACTGCTGGTCCCTGTGTACAAGTTTTTATGTGCTCATAAATTTTTATTTTCATTGGTTATATACCTGGCAGTGGAATTGCTGGATTATATAACTCAATGTTTAACTTTTTGAGGAACTGCCAAACTGTTTTCCAAAGCAACTGCACCATTTTATATTCCCACCAGCAGTGTACAGGGTTCTAATTTTTCCACATCCTTGTCAGCATTGTTGCTATCAGTCTCCTTGATGATAGCCACCCTAGGGGTGTGAAGGAGTATATTAATTAAAAAGATTATTTTTTGTATGGAAGTCAGACAGATATAGACAGATGCATAGAAGTTCTTTTTTTTATTAAATTTATTTATTTACATTCATTCTTCACTGTACATCAATACAGCATACAAAGTGAGATTTTTCCATCCAGAGTACACTGTATATTGGCTCAGTCAAGCACATCAATATACATGTTATCATCAACAAATAATTTTCCATTTCTTGTTCCCTGTATGTTTTGCTTTTTTTCCCCATCCTTGATTCCCTATCTTTTACCCTTGGCTGTCTCCCACTCTCCTCCTACATGTTTGTGTTGTTTGCTTTACAAACCCCCCCCCCCATTTTATTGAGTCACTAAAGATCTTAATTAATATTTTCATAGCAAGCACAGCTGATACATACATTTCCATGAACACAAGTACAACTTTAGGCATAAGCTTCAGTGAGTTGAATGAACATCCTATAAAGTAGCACCTAGCTGGAGCTATATATCTTACTACAGGCATTGAATAGGTATTTTTAATGCTTTTTTTTTTTTAATTTCAAGAAAAACAGTTTTAGTTTTTTTTTTACCCAAAACTTTTTTTTTAACTTAATTTACATTCTTTCCCTCAGCATCATCACAGCATACAAAATGTGATTTCCCATCCAGAATATACTGCATAGTGGCTTAATCGTGCATATTATCAAAAATTTTCCATGTCTAATTTCTAGAATTTTTTTTAACACCCTATTTCTGACCCTCTGTCCTTTCCCACCCTCTTCTCACACTATCTCTGGTGTCTACAGTTGTCTTCCATTCTCCCCCCCCCCCCCCACACTGCCCAAGGAACTTTGCGTAAAGCCAGGAAACAGGTTAGGATTCTGTTCACATGGTAGGTGCATGAACCTATCCATATCTCAAGACAGAACACAAATCCTTACAACCAGATAACAAAGTCTACAAGAAAATCAGCAATATTTTAATCAAAAGTCATAAAATTATACTTCACCAATTCAGTCTCATGTACTTTATCTTCTGTTATGGTTTGATTTTCCTGATTAAATTCTGGGAGTATTCAACTCCAGACTTGTTCCTATGATTAAGTTGGCCACTTTCTTAGTGTTTGAACTCTTATTTCTGTGTGTCTGTATTTAATTTTCCTGATATAGCACTCCCTTGAGAACTTCTTGGAGATCTGATCTGGTGCTGGTAAATTCTTTCAGGTTTTGTTTATCTGAGAGTGTTCTTGTCTTTTCTTTCCACATGAAAGATAATCTTGCTGGGTATAGTATTCTTGGCTGAAATTGCTTTTCTCTTAACACTTTGAATATATTTTCCCATTCTTTTCTCGCTCGCATTGTTTCCGATGAGAGGTCTGTTGTTAGCCTGATGGGATATCATTTGTAGGTAACTTGATGTTTTTCTCTTGCCAATCTTAGTATCTTGTCTTTGTCTGTGGTTTTGGTCATCCTGGCTATAATATGTCTTGGAGAAGATCTTCTTGGGTTGATTCTATTTAGGGTCTTTTGTATTTCTTGGGACTGGATCTTTGAGTGCCTCTCTAGGATTGGAAAGTTTTCTTGCAGGATTTCATGGAATAGATTATCAATGCCCTTATGAGTCTCTTCACCTTCTGGAATGCCAGTTATCTGGATGTTTGGATGTTTGATGGTATCTAGTGCTTCTTGTATATTATTCTCAAATTTTTGGGCATTTTTCTCAGTCTTCGTGGTGGATTTTTCTAGGCCAGCAATTTTCTCTTCTATGTCTGAGATTCTATTTTCTGTATGATCTAGTCTGCTTTTAATACTTTCAAGGGAGCTTTTAACTTCCTGTATTATAGCCTTCATCTCTAACAGTTCCATTTGATTCTTTTTTAAAGCATGTAATTCCTCTTTTAGATCTTGCAAGAATTCCCTCATCTCCTGGAACTCGTCAACTTCTTTCTCCTTTCTCCTGCCTCTTCTGCAGTTCATTGCCTCTCTTCTCTTCCATCTCTGTTAGCTTCACCATTATGAATGTTCTAAGTTCTTTATCAGACATTTCCATGATTTCCATTGAACTGCTTGTGGATGAAGAGGAGTTATTCTTTCCCCTTGGAGGAGAGGTATTTTCTTGCTTCCCCGTATTTCTTATGGTCCTGTGGTGATTTCTAGTTATCACGCTAGCTTGTTTGCTGGAGGCTGAATTATCAGTAGAAAATCTTCATTTCTCTTGCACCCTGAAATGACTACTTCGCAGGAGCCATGAAGAATCTTCTGCTGAAGGCCTCGCCTCTCCTACCCTGAAATCGCATAGAAGTTTTTTTATGGTAAATGTGTATACATTTTATTTAGACTGTTCATAGCAAAAGGTTGTTTTAAGATGCTTGTCAAGGTATATGGGAACAGTGGTTTGCCTTCTTGAAAGAATGGGTGAATTTTGGAGACAGTGAAGTGTAAGCACAAACCTAAGTTAAACATGTTGAACATCATTGTTTCTGAAATTTGTCCCCTATCTTAGTTTTGCAGTCATGCACACAGGATTCTCATTCAAATTTAGCCCTCTGTCGCCCCTTTCTGGCCCATATTGGGTCATGTTTAAACTGTTAGCAGGGGTTTCTTAATTGATCCTGTGGTTCCTCCTCCCAGCTGTGGAGTGGTTGTCCTAGGCCCCGTTGTGCCATGTTCCATCCCTGTCTAGAATCTGACCTCAGAGGCTGCTCCCCACACCTTCCTAGCCCAAGGATGCCACTCCAGCCGTCTGGAACCCTCTATGTTCTCTGTCTGTCCTTTGCTTTTCCCGCTCTCCTCGTCTTGACTCATGCGATGCCTCATGGCCAACATGAACCGACTTCTGTAATCATTCTTTCAGACCTCTCCGAGCCTTCGCCGCCCTGCTTGTGAGCTGTTGGCTTTCCTCCCAGACTGTGGCTGGAAGTGATCCCTTTTTCTCTGTGCTTCTCTGTCTGTGACCTGGTCATCTCAGCTGGCTCATTCCTCAGATCGCTTCGTATTTAGTCATTATGTATTTTTGTGTTGCACTAGTTAGATTTTAAGCAATGTGAAAGTAGTAGTTTTGTTTTCTGTCATTTTGAATCCCACACAGGACCTGGAGGCAGAAATGGAATGAGTCCAAAGTCAAGGCAGCACGTGTCCGGTCCCAGCTCTGCTGTGATCTGGTCTGGTGACTTGGCTAAGTGCCTTACCTCTTGACCTCAGCGTCTGCCCTATATGAAGGGATTGACCTGGTCATGTCTAGTTGGAACTCTGGTTTCCTCTATCGCGTACCTCCTTGCAAATATAAATTGTTTATGAACAAACGTTAGGTCTCATTCTTCTTCATGGCTGTTGCCTGTCAGGTCCCTTTGCTCCTAAGTAAAAACACAGCACCTGGCATGTGATAGACACACGGCGAATGCTCATTCCCTGCCCCCTTGATTTTGGTCTTCACAGTCAGGCTCCTTGTCTAGTTTTTTAGCATATACTTTGTGGCTATTTACAGACTATTTCTCACTAGCTTCCCACTATTGTTTTCACACTAATAAACGCATTGCACATGGTCTCCTTAAAACTGCAGTTAGGGGACCAGCAGTTGGCATGGTGGTTAAGGCACTGAACATTCCCACATGGCCGATAGTGGTTCGAGTCCTGGACCTGTTGGCTTGCTTTCTCACTTTCCCTCTCTCTCTGTGTTGTCTCTCTCTAGTCAAATTAAAAATAAATAAATAAATAAAAAAGAATTTGTTAAAAACCCCTAAAAACCCTGCAGTTATTCAGTTGATTTTTGCATATAATAAGATCTTGGTCCACTTTATCCTCAAAACATTATTTATAAGGCGTAGGACTCATTTGTTCTGTCTTATGTAGATATGTGTGATGGGAATATATATAATCAAATTCATGCCTTTAATATGTTCATTATATAGCATGGAATTTAGATCTTTTTCTTCAAAATGGTTGTTGATTTTTTTTTTTTTTCCTTCTTCAGGGTGGTTAAGAAAGTGGCTCAATACATGGCTGACGTATTAGAGGATAGTAAAGATAAAGTTCAGGAGAATTTATTGGCCAATGGAGGTAAGATAATATTTCATGATTTGGTAATTATTGACTTAGTAAAAACGAATGACTTAATCAGCATGATGATTAAGGCGCTGGACACTCCCACATGGCTGAACGCGGTTTGAGTCCAAGACCTGGTGTCTTGCTTTCTCACTTTCACTCTCTCTGGCTTTCTCAAATTAAAAAAAGGAAAAGAATAAATAAAATCTTCAAAAGAATAAATGACAGCTATAAAAACAAAATAATATAAATAACATCTATAAGGATATTAAATATACTAGAAAGCCATTAAAATACAGTTACTTTTACTGAATTTGATGATATTGCCAATTACATGTTGTCCTCTGAAACACGGGTTCATGTAAAACAATCTTACATACTATGTAATACAGCTTATGCTATAATACCAAGTCTTCTGTGAAAGTAAGATTATAAGGATATACCTTAGTTTCTTTTTGAGATTGATTTATTAATTCAGGCCTGCAAGTGAGTTTCCCAGTTTCCACAGGAGCTTCAAAAAGTTCATGGAAAAACCAACTTTTGAGGATTATTCCAGTTGAGTAACTGCTGCTTTCTCTAGCCTTTTATGTTTAATAGTATCCAGCTACTAAAGCCAACTACTACATTATTAATTTCGTTCCAGAGTAATGCTTTCTCATCTCAAATTTGGACATAGCTTTTTTTTTTGGTGGTGGGGAGGGGGATTTTGCTATAGGGTGCATGTGCTTGCCAGAAAGACAGAGAGAAAACAGAGAGACAGAAGGCGAGAAATCACCCCCTGGGGGGGATGGCCATGCCACAATCCCTCTCCTTTATTCTCTTCTTGGGATCTTGGGCACACACGCACATGTGCCCAGTGTGAGTTTAAGCCACCGGGTCCGGGACTCAAACCACGGTCAACTATGTGGGAGTCTAGCAACAGCCATTACGCCAACTGCTGATCCCTGAACATAGCTTTTCTTTACATAGGACCCATAAAATATTCTACTGACTTCTCTGTAGCTAGCAGCTAATATTTATGTAGATTTTCTCTGTGTAATAATGGCTTCATAAAGATGGCTTGGTCCTTGTTATTCCTACTTGCTTTTATTGTTTTCTTTGGAAATAACACGTTAGCTTTTGCTTCATTTTAAAATAAGCCTTTAAAATTTTTTTTTAAATTTGCGGCTGGCAGGTGGTTTAGTGGTTAACAGTGCTGGACTCCCACATGGCTAACTGTGGTTTGAGTCTCGGACCTGGTGACTTGCTTTCTCACGTTCCCTCTTTCTCTCTCTTGCTCTGTCCCTCTCTGGTCAAATTAAAATAAATAACTAAATAAAGTTAAATAAAATCATTCTTTTAAAAAATTATTATTTAATTTTATTATTTATTTTAATTTGACCAGAGAGGGACAGAATGAGGCAGAGTGAGAGAGAGAGCACAGGAAAGTGAGAGAGAAAGCAAGCTGGCAGGTCCAGGACGCTAATTGTAGTCAACCACATGGGAGTTCAGCTCTCTTAACCACCATGCTACCTGCTGGCCCTAAATAAAATAATTCTTTAAAAAAAAATTTTTTTTTAAGTATTTACTAAGAGCAAGAGACAGAGAAACAGAGAAAGAAAGATAGGCACTTTCGACCCAGGCTTGACATGCCATGATTCCCTTCCCTAGTCCTCCAGCCAGGTAGGATCTCTGTGTGTGCTCTGCATGTTTCAGGTTAACTCGGGATCTGAATCTGTGGTGGGCTGTGCTGCTTCCAGCACCGCAGAGCAGCATGCTGTGTGTGTACCATGGTGGCTAGGCCTAAAGTAGGCCTGTCATCAGAAATATGTCATTATGGTTGGAAATAACTCTTCCCTTCCATTCTTTACTATATTGCCTGCTATGATAACGTCATTCTATTTTAAATCTCATGTTCTTCTAATCTCATTTCTTCTCCTTCCAGAAAATAGATGCTCAGTTAATACTTATTTAATCGATTAAAAAATAGTAATTTATTGGGGCCAGCAGGTGGCGTGGTTAAGGCATTAGACTCCCACATGATTGTGATTTGAATCCTGGACCTGGCAGCTTGAAACTCACACTGGGCATGTGTGCTTGTGCACTCAAAATCCTGAGAGGAGAATGGAGGAGGAGGGATTGTGGTATGACCATCCTCTCAAGGGGGTGATTTCTCACTTCCCCTCTCTCTTTGGCAAGTGCACCTGCCCTCAACAAAATCACTCTTAAAAAAAAAAAAGAATCGTACTTTATCATTGCTTTGTTACGATAGTGATTCTGATCTAATTCTGTTCATTCTGTCTTTCGGAAACAGAAGACAGGTGTGCTACCTTATGTACCTCTGGTGATTTCCTAGGTGTTTAATGAGTGAGGGCAGTCTAGTAAGTGCAGTGGTGGTCGACAATCTGGAGGGCAGTGCATCTAAAGTTGCTTGTACAGTTGTCATCTGTGGGGCCAGGAGGTGGTGGTATAGTTAAGGTATTGGATCCCACATGGCCCGTTCTGTGATTGAGTCCTGGACCCAGCGACTTAAGAAAACATGCCAGGCATGTGTATATGCCCGTGTGTGCCCAAAATCTCAAGAGGAGAATGGAGAAGGGATTGTGGCATGACCATCCCCTTTGGAAGGTGATTCTCACTTTCCCTCTATCTCTGGTGAGCACACATACCCTATGGTAAAAATCTAAAAAAAAAGCATCATTGTGTTGTTGACTTGTTTTATGCAAGGGAAAATTGAGCATAGAAAGCTGTTCAGAGGGACCAGCAGATGGGCTAGTGGTTATGTCACTGGACCCTCACATGGCCGACCACAGCTTGATTCCCGGACCTGGAGGCTTGAAATTCACGCCAGGCATGTCTCAAAATCTCCAGAAGAAATGGGGGAGAAGGCCAGGCACGTGTGTCTGCATGCTCAAAATCTCCAGAAGAAATGGGGGAGAAGGGATTGTGGTGTGACCACCCCCTCGGGGGGGGGGTGATTTCTCGCTTTTTGTCTGTCTGTCTCTGGTGAGTGCATGCACTCTATAGTAATCTCTCTCTAGGAAAAAAAAAAGAAAGATAGTTGGATATAAAGTACTCTTGTTGATTAGCTTTGCTATGCTTGCTATTTGACTGCCTTAACCTTAATCCAGTCAGAATTAGTTGTCGTCACTTTGGCACTACATTTTTTATTTCAATTTATAAGTGTAGGATCTTTTTTTTTTTTTTTTTAGAGTTTTGCTGTAGGGCGTGTATGCTCCTCAGAGAGACAGACAGACAGTGAGAAATCATCCCCTGGGGGGATGGCCATGCCTCAATCTCTTCTCTTTCATTCTCCTCTCAGGATCTTGGGCACGCATGCACACACGCCTGGGAGATGGCCATGCTGTAGCCCCTTCTCCACAATTCTTCTCTTGGGATTTGAGGCATGCATACATGCATGCCCAGTGTGTTTCCAAGTTGCCAGGTTTGGGATTTGAACCATGCTGTTAGTCATTTCAGATCCAGCTGCCTCAACCACCACACCACCTGGCTCACTCTTTGCTGATTTTCTTAGTCCCAATTTCAGCATTAAAATGTATTGTTTTAGGGGCTGACAGATGGTTAGGGGCGCTGGACTCCCATACGACTGACTGCAGTTCAAATTCTGGACCTGGTGGCTTGTTTTCTGTCTTTCTCTTTCTCTTTCTCACCCTGTCCTTCTCTGATAGAATTAAAAATAAATAAATAAAATAATTCTTTAAAAAATGTATTGCTGGGACCAACAGTTGGCATGATGGCTATGTATGTCACTGGACTCCGATGTAGTTGACTGTGATTCGATTCCTGGACCTGGTGGCTTAAACTCTTGCCAGGCACGTGTGCATGCCCAAGATCCTGAGAGGAAAATGGAAGAGAAGGAATTGCAGCATGGCCATCCCCCCTGGAGGGGTGATTTCTTGCTTTCTATCTCTCTGTCTTTCTGGCGAGCGCACGCACCCTATAGCAAAAACCTCTTCAAAAAAAAAAGTATTGTTATGTAAGCCCAGCTATAGTGGTATAGGCAGTAGAGCACCGCTGGGATATTGGAGCCAGAGGGGAAGGCCCTGGGTTTGGATCCTGGGTTGACCCAAACACACTGGATGCACCTGTGATCCTGGCTGGCTGATGTGGGAGATCATGGCATGGTGGAGCTTTGTCAGGCGTGGTCCCTCCCTTCTTCTCCCTGTGCTCTGTATGTCTATGTGTGTGTCCATCTGTCTCTCTCTCAGGAAACACATTTATTTATTTATTTACATTTGTTATTATTATTATTTGTCCAGAGAGAGACAGAGAGAAAGAAGGCGAGAAAGTAAGCTACCAGGTCGGGACTTGAACTGTGGTCAGCCATGTGGGAATCCAGCACCTTTAAGCATCATGCCACCTACTGGCCCAGGGAATAAACTTTTAAGTACTGTTGTGTTAAAAAAAAAAATGATTACTTCTCTTCAGTAATTTATTTCTTTCTTTATTTCAGTTGACCTGGTTACTTATATAACAAGGTTCCAGTGGGATATGGCCAAATATCCAATCAAGCAGTCCCTGAAAAATATTTCTGAAATAATTGCCAAGGTAAGATGAAAATGAAGACAAACAGGACTCATCGATTTAGAGTGGCTTTGTGTATTTTACAATTTAGTTACAAAGTACTTTTTTTAGATTTTTGGCACACTAATTATATGTCACAGATAGAGGCAGAAAGAATCCTTACTCGAATGTCTCGAATGTCAGATGTTCAAAGATGTTTGCTGTTAAAGATGCTAAAAAGTAGAATGCTTTTGTGTGTAGTTAAAGTTACGTAGTTTACTTATTTGCATGGTTAGCTTAAGCAGCAATGTTTAAGAAACTGTGAAATTCTGGAACCAGTAGGTGATGTGGTGAAGGTGCTGGACTCTCACATGGCTGACTATGGTTTGAGTCTGGACCCAGCTTTCTCACTTTCTCTCTGTCTCTTTCTCTGGTCAAATTTAAAAAAAAACCAAAAAACAATAGTAGCAATAATTATAGGAGTAATAAATAATTTTTTTAAGAAAGAAAGAAATTCTATGGACCAGCACACGGCATAATGGTTACGTCACTGGACTCCCACGTTGTCAACCATGGTTTGAGTCCTGGACCCAGCGACTTCAAACTCCCACCGGGTGTGTGTGTGTGCCCAAGATCCTGGGAGGAGAATGGAGAAGTGATAGTGATGAGGTATCCCTCAGGAGTGATTTTTTTCACCTTCTCTCTCGCTGTCTGCCTGTCTCTTTCTTCAACGAGCGCACGTACCCTATAGCAAAAATCTCTCTCTAAAGAAAAAAAGAAAAGAAACTTAGAAATTCAGTGTGTGTGTGTGTGTGTGTGTGTGTGTGTGTATTTTTTTTTTTTTTGAGAGATTTTTGCCTTAGGTGCGTGTGCTCGCTGGAGAGAGACACACACATTGAGAGGGAAAGTGAGAAATCACCCCCTGGGGGGATAGCCTCACTGCAATCTCTTCTCCTCCATTCTCCTCCTGGTTCTTGGGCATGCACGCACATGCACCTGGCATGATTTTCAAGCCACCATGTCTGGGACTCAAACTGCAGTCATTCATGTGGGAGTCCTGCAATGTAACCACTATGCCACCTGCTGATCCTGAAGTTCTATATTTTTAATATAGATTTTAAGGGTAGCTGAGATAGTGTAGAATAGGAAAATTGGAGTCTATTAAAGATTTATGAGTCATTCAGGTCGATGCTAATAGTTACTTATTGGGTTTATGTACAGTATTTGTTCAAACAATAAACTTTATGGGTTCTCTTTTTTCTTTCTGATTTTAGCAGTCCTCCATTATCCATGGCGAATATGTTCCCAAACCACGGATAGTACCGAATCCTATATGTACTGTGTTGTTTTGATCTGGTAACCGAGAGGGCTACTAAGTGGTGAAGCAGCAGGTTACATATATAGTGTGGGTATGCTGGAAAACAGATTAACATCCTGGACTGGACAGAGCAGAAGGGTATAAGATTTCATCAGGCTACTCAAAACAGTGTGTGCTTTAAAATACACAAAGTGGGGCCAGCAGGTGGTGTGGTGATTAAGGTGCTGGACTTCCATATGGCCAACCGTGGTTCAAGTCTGGATCTGGTGACTTGAAAAACACACTGGGTGTGTGTGTGTGCATGCCCAAAGTCCTGAGAGGACAATGGAGGAGAAGGGATTGCAGCATGGCCATCCCCCTAGGGAGTGATTTCTCACTTTTCCTCTCTGTCTCGTCTCTCTCCAGTGAGCACATATGCCCTATGACAAAAACCAAAACAAACAAACAACAAATCTTAAAAATTGTTCATTTCTGGAATTTTTCATTTTCTATTTTTGGACCATGTTTAGACAGGAATGAAACCATGGATAAAGGGCACTGATCGTATTATTGGTCCACTGCTAGAAAAATGCCCATGTTCATGTATGACATGATTTTTTTTAAAGATTTATTTAATTTTATTTGTTATTATTATTTATCTTTTAATTTGACCAAAGGAAGACAGAGAGAGAGAAAGTGAGAAAGCAAGCTGCCAGGTTCGGGACTCAAACCACAGTTGGCCATGTGGGAGTACAGCACCTTAACCACCACACCTGACCTGCTGGCACCATCACATGATTTTATAGAAAGTTCCAGGGAGTACATGGGCCCAGTAGCCCACCCATGAATCTGCCAGATAAGAGCTCTTTTTATATTGAGACATCACAAAACTTGAGAGAAAATGTAGACTTCTTAACAGAAACTAGAATGAGGCAGATAGATAAGGCCCTATTAATTGTTTGCTAACATTCTGGCTAGGGCCAAAAGTATGTCGTAAATCCTTGGACAGGTTTTCCTTCCTGGGCTCCGAGTGACTTTAGTTGTGCGGTGTTCAGTGTAGGTGTAAACGAATAGGTGAGCAAAGGTTTTAATTACAGTCATCATCCCGTTCAAAGAAAATGAGTAGCTCAATGATGTAAAGTGGTGCTCTTACTATAACTGAACCTTATTTTCTTTTGGTCTTTACCAAGGAGTTAGTCTTCTGCTTCCTGATATTTGTAGATAAGGAAACAGGCTCAGAGAGGTGAAGTGACTTACCTAGTGTTACAGTTAGTAATGGTAGAGTCGAGCGGAAACCAGTTCTTCAAATTTTAAATCTGCTTTACCTTTTCTCCCTAAGCAGGTAGTGGTTTTAGTCCTCTTTTGAAAAATCAGCTTTTGGACTGTTTACAAAGAAGTTTAACTGCAGTTTTAATTTTACTGAGAGAATATGTTGTGTAATAGTGGGATTTGTATAAACAAAACTCTGCAATATAGTTCCTCTTGGAAATCCATCTTTCAGCCTTGTGATTGGTTAGTAATCTCCAAACACAGTGGCCTAGATTTTGTTTACTTGGTTTAATAATATAGTGGGGCCAGCAGATGGCATAGCAGTTATGTCGCTAGACTCCTGCGTGACCGACTGCGGTGAAAATCATGCTGGGGGCATGTACATGCATGCGTGCCCAAGATCCCAGAGGAGAATGGAGGGGAAGGGATTGTGGTGGGGCCATCCCCCCAGGAGGTGATTTCTTACTTTCCCTCTCTCTGACTCTCTCTCTCCAGCGAGCACATGTGCCATAAGACAAAAACCTCTAAAAAAATAATAACAACATAGTAGTAATAATTAAAGTAACATGTGGACTAAAACATCTTTCGTAGAAAAGATTCACATGGAAATTATCATATTAAAAATGAAGTAGGGGGTCAGCAGGTGGTATAGTGGTTGAGGCAGTGGATTCCACATTGCCAGCTCCGTGGATCAGCAGCTTAGAAAACACGCCTGGTGCATGTATAAGCCCAAAATGCTGAGAGTAGTGTGGAGGATTGTGGTGTGGCCATCTACTGCCCGCCCCCGCCGCAGGAGTGATTTCTCACTTCCTCTCTCTCTAGCAAGTGCACATGCCCTATGGCAAAAATCTAAAGGAAAAAAAAAAGAGTGAAGTAGGGATCCACCCATTGTAGTGCATGCCAGATCCTGCTACTTGGCAGGCTGGCAGGACTCATGGCAAGCCTGGGTCAGTGCTGGCCCACAGGTGACATGCATGTATAGTCTCAACTACTTGCAAAGCTGAGGCGGGAGGTTTACAACACGGCTAGACCCTGTATGAACCCCCTGCCCCTGCCCCCAACAAAAGTAGGTTATTTTTTAAATGACATTTTAAAATTGTGCTTTTTAAAAGTAGAGGGAACCCCCAGGAGGGCTGGCCCTGTAGTCTGGCTAGGTTAAGGAAGCTAAAATTGTGCTTTTTAAAAATAGAGGGAGCCCCCAGGAGGGATGGCCCTGTAGTCTGGCTAGGTTAAGGAAGCTGGATACCACATGGCCAACTGTAGTTCAAATCTTGTCCTGGCAGCTTAAAAAAACATGTTACTCAAAATCACAACAGGATAGAGAAATGAAAGAGAAGAGATTGTGGCATGACCATGTCCCATTGTGGGGGTACTTTCTGTCTGTCTCTGGCACATATGCCCTTTGGCAATGAAAATAAGTAATTAAAATAAAATAATAAAATATTCTTAAAAAAGTAAATAAAATAATAGAATATTCTTATACCTTTGGCAATGAAAAAAAGTAATTAAAATAAAATAATAGAATATTCTTTAAAAAGTAAATAAAATAATAGAATATTCTTATATCAGAAACTTACTTTCTAATTCCTTTTTTTTTCTTGGTAGAAGTTAAAGTTCAGCTACTTTAACTGTATCAGTACAAGCAGTTTAGGAAAATTTTGCCCATGATTTTTCCTTTTCTTCTTTGAAGGGAGTAACTCAGATTGATAATGACCTGAAATCTCGAGCATCTGCGTATAATAATCTGAAAGGGAATCTTCAGAATTTGGAGCGAAAGAACGCGTAAGCATCTCACGTATATGTGAATTTAAGAATCGGGGAGGCTCAGTGCTGTGCACTGATGAGATACTGCGGGACTTAGTAAATTCCAATGTATACTGTTTCATATAACATGAAGTTCATGACGGTAAGTGTATAGGATTCACACTTGTCAAAACAGACGTGAGACTGATTTATTATACCTCATAAATAATATTTTGGTCCTGGCTTATCCCTTTAGCTATTTGCTATTTCATGGAAAAACTATCCAAATTAATTGTTTAAGTAAAACCATGGTTTAATTGCATAGCAGTTGACCTGCTTAAAAGAATTCTGTATAAAAATGCTTTTATGGTGTAATAATTATTCTCTAATGTGTTTTCAAGTTCAGATTTTTTTATATAGTAAGTTTTCTTAAAATAGGATACACTTGTCCTTTTGATCTTCTGTGATGACTATAAGTACATGGTTAATTCCAGGGGTGCAGTTACACCCCAGAGAGCAAGCTGGTTGGATACTCCCAGTGATACGAACAGGCAAATGCTCAATTTTCATTACGGGAGGATCATTACTGGATGACCGATTAAAGGTTGATTTGCAATTGTCGATTATGGGCTTCACTAACTAAAATGGCCTGGTATCGAATGATATCCAGGTAGAGTGAAGGAAACCAAAGCTTATGCTCATGACGTAATTTCATCATTATGATGAAATAGACTTTAATCGATGTCTGATAGCACGTTCCCAGGTAAGTTACTATATACGTAGTCAGGAGCAAACGCAAAGGTAAATGTTGGCGTTTCTTTGTTTGCAGGGGTGTGACATATTCAGCTGAATGTTGGCATCCTAAAGTGAAAGTGTTAGCTAAGACTAACCTCTTTTTTGAGGTATATATGTAGTTTATGTGAATCTGATTAACCTACTGCTTTTCCACTTGTGTTATAGAAGCACGTAAGTTTTAGCCTAATGTTTTTTCTTTTTCCTCAGAGGAAGTTTGTTAACTAGAAGTCTAGCAGAAATTGTGAAGAAAGATGACTTCGTTCTTGATTCAGAGTATCTCGTCACACTATTGGTGGTAGTTCCCAAGTATGCCTTTCTATCTTGTTAAGATACATAAGAGAAGTTTTAGTATCTGGCATTGCAGTTTGAAGTTTTCTGTAAAATCCAAGTATAAAAGCAATGTGACCTTGTCCATTTTTCTGTCATCCAACGTTCATGTGGCACGCACATTAGAATATATTTCACAATCTGGTAATGGAGACATCAATTATAAACTGAGATTCTAGATTAAATTTAGCAACTTGCTAGAATTGGCTCATTAACAGATTAAGTAATGATAAATTACTGGATTTTTTAAAGAGGTTTTTGCCTTCAGGTGTGTGTACTCATCAGAGAGAGAGACAAACAGTCAGAGGGAAAGTGAGAAATCAACTCCCGGGGGCATGGCCTCGCCTCAGTCCCTTCTCTGTCTTTCTTCCAGGGTCTTGGGCACACACGCAAAGGTGCCCAGCATGATTTTCAAGCCACCGACTCTGGGACTTGAACCACAGTCAGCCATGTGGGACTCAGCCACATAACTACAGTTCCATCTGCTGGCCCAAGTTACCAGATTTTTTTAAGATAGTAATTTTAGATTTTTCCAAGTAGTGAGGTCTTCGGATTTTTCTAAACATACATGTAAAAAACCTGGTTAGGGTAAAGTAAGCTCCATAAGATGCAAAGAATGGATTAGATCAGGGGTTAGCCAATTTTTTTTTCTGTGAAAAGTGTTAGACAGTTAGCGGCCCTGTGCGCTGTGGGACCTCTGTCCCCACTCTTCAGCTTTGCCATGTCAGCTTTATCTGAAATACCAGAGGGACTGTGTGACGGGTGGGCTGCTTCACGCTATTTAGAGAAGCAGGCTCGGTTATTGGCTTAGTTTGTTGACTCCTGGATTAGGTGACCCTCTGAAATCGCCTTTAGATTAGGTTGTCTGTGTTAATTACTGTTCGATCGAAGTTAAAATGAAAACTTTGGGACACTTGTAAAAGTCTAGATCTCTGTGTGTGCATGTTGTGCGTATGTGAGTGTCTGTACATGTATAACACTATTATGTGAGTGTCAGTGTATCTGTGTAACACTTACTGACTCACTTCTGACCTACACTGAAGTCTTGCTATCAGGTACTCCTTGGGAGATCAAGCTGAGGAGGGAGATTTGTGTCCTTTGCAGAGTATTACAGCATGAAGCTTTCTTTGCTTTGCTCTACATTTTTGTCTGGGTTGTAGACTGGGGACATAAGAAAATGATACCTCCTGAAAAAGGGATGGAAAGCACCTCCCTGGGATTTACAGTGGCTGCAGTATTGCCAGCATTTTTCTCCCTTTATGTAGTGTGTTGACTTTTGTACTTTTCTTTGCATGTACAGAGGGACTTAAGACTGAAAGTTTTGACTTTAAAGGTTATGTGTTTTAGTTAACATAACTCCCTGGGACCAGCAGATGGCATAATGGTTACATTGCTGGACTCTCACATAGTTGACCGTGGTTCAAGTCCTGGACCCAGAGGCTTAATAAAACTCATGCTGGGCATGGGTACATGTGTACTCAAAAACCTGAGAGGAGAATGGAGGAGAAGGGATTGCGGTTTGGCCATCCCTCCTGGGGGAGGTGATTTCTCGCTTTTGGTCTTTCTGTTTTTCTCTGTCTCTGGCGAGTGTACACGCCCTATAGCAAAAATCTCTACACACACACACACACACACACACACACAAAAAAAAAAAAAAAAAAAAAAAAAAAAAAAAAAAACAAAAAACATGTAACTCCCCTATGCTATACTGGAACAGGTGATTATTTAGAATACATTTCTCTATATCTGTGCTTTTATATTATGTTGAAAAATAACCTTTGCCCAGATAAAAGATTTGTCTCACTTGAACTTAATTTCATTTTCATAGCTTTTTGTAATTGAAACATAGGACCTAGCACACCTTCCAGAACAAATGATTCTCTATCCTGGCCCACCATAATTCTTCATTTTAAATCTCAGAAGTAGTTGTCTTTCCCCACATCTGCAGAAGTCAGTGGCCTCTAGAGCAGGTGGTTGCACAAGGTTCTGTGGCAACATGGCTTGCTGTCATTTGAGTTCCTCATTAGCTCTGGACTCTGCTTTCTGGGGGTAAAGTTTTATTCAGCCCTTCATAATGGCCACTGAATGGAAATGAGAGTAGTTTCAGCCTGGACTTTCTCTTTTTTTTTTTTTTAAATGACACTTACTACGTTTCAGACATGAAGTTTGACAGTAATTTTAAGTATGTCCTGTACTTCCTTTCCGAACTCAGTTCTAGCTGGTGCCTCTTTTGCAATAGTTACTAGTAATAAGACGGTGGTGATCTCTATTTCCGCTTCACCCGGTGTATTTGAAATTCATTTTCAGGAGGAAACTTGAATTAACTTGCTATATGCATCTGAAATATATTTATTGCCGCTAAATTCCTTATTTGTCTCCTTTTTTAGATATGGCAGGAGGTAGACCCTTTTTTTCTAGATACGGCAGGAGGTAGGCCTTTTTTTTTCTTTTTTTTTCTTTTTTCTTTTTTTCAATATTTGTTGTGTCTTTGCAGATTAAACCACAATGACTGGATGAAGCAGTACGAGACCCTAGCCGAAATGGTAGTTCCGAGATCTAGCAAGTAAGTAGTCATCTTTGTAAAGCTGTTTATTTTCTAGAATTCTTTTTATAGTTTGGGTGTTAGATTAGGAAATACCTTTGCTGTCTTTCCTTTGTGATAAATTTACAGTTTTAGAACCATCATTTTCAACGCTGATATCATCATTTCAGCCCTGGAAGGGACTTTTTGACCCATGCATATTTATAGACATTGCAGTTTGAGGCCAGTGAGGTGAGGTCATTTGCCCAGAGTCACACATCTCACTATTGTCGGGGCTAGGACTAGAACCCCGGTTTCTGGTTCCTACTGCTCTGTGCTGCCTTCTGAAAAAATCTTCATTCCCTCTTATTTGCAAATCTAGTATGTGCGTACAATTCCTCTTTTTACTTTGCAAGGAGAGTGGGCCTGCATGGCTGCTAGAGTGCTGTGTTGACTTCCAGATGTTCACCATCACTTTGAGCATGTTTATCTCATCTACCTTTCTTTTAAAAAGAAAATAAAAAAAGAAACCTTTCTATTAAGCACTTTCTTAATTATATATTTAACATGATCTATTTTGAAATTTCCAACAATTCTTGAAGCAGTTTGGGCAGTTTGCATTCTTACTTTCTTAGATGAGGAAGTCAGATGCTTAAATAGTTGCTATGCTCACACGTGGCTATGTGAGCATCCAGGGCCAGGTTCAGACTAGAACTCAGATCTTTTGAGTCCAGGTCCTTTACTCATTTAATACTATCTCATGTCACTTTTTTCCTGTATTCTGCCATTACTGCATAAGATACTCTTTTAGAACATGTTAAATACGGTGTATAAGCATCCCAAAGGATTCTTTTATTTGTATATGCCTCAGGAGGAGGCAGCCTTGTGAAAGAAAGATAGAGGCACCAGTAAGGAAGTGGACTTAGTAAGGTCAGGCACATGAAATATTTTCTTTTCCAGTTTCATTGTGTCATATGGGAGGTAGCTTAGTATAATGGAAAGAGTCCTGGACCCAGAGATTTGAGTTCTTTTGCTGGTTCTGCTGCCAACTTGCTGTGTAACCTGGGGTAAGTCTTTTAACTTCTCTGGGCCTCATTTTCTTTGTCTGTAAAATGAGCAGAGTACCTTCCCTGCATAGGGCATTTTAAGATTCGAAAAAGTATATAAACTGTTGAGTTGTTTTAAAAGTCACGATGCACAGGGAACCAGCAGTTAGCGTAATGGCTATGTCGCTGGACTCCCACGTAGTCGACCGCGGTTCGTGTCCCGGACCCGGTGGCTTAAAACTCACGCCGGGCGCGTGTGCGTGCGTGCCCAAGATCCCGAGAGGAGAATGGAGGAGAAGGGATTGCGGCGTGACCATCCCCCCTGAGGGGTGATTTCTCGCTTTCTGTCTCTATGTCTCTCTCTGTCTGTCTGGCAAGCGCACGCGCCCTACAGTGAAAATCTCTCCAAAAAAAAAAAAAAGTCACGATGCACAGAAAAATGCATCATGACTTTTCCAATGACCCAATATAATGTAGTCATAATTATAGTTTTACAGATGTTGATCTTTTGAGAACTATACCACAAACCTGTACTTACCATGAATTTTTTCCCATTTGGGGGAATATCTTCTAATCAGACCAGCTCTTCACATGGGAAAAGGAGGACTGCAGTTGTGTCTTGATGTTATTTTCTGATTTATGCTGTTTATCCTGACAGCACCTTCCTGTCTGTAAGGTGTTAAAGCCAGGGAGCTTGACTGTGTGTCTAGAAGGCAGGTGAGGGGTGGCTGAGGACCTAGTACCTGTGGAGTGTTCACTCTGACCTAAACACGTGTCAAACCAGATTTCTGGGGCCGATGTATATCTGGTTAAGCAAGCCCAGATTTACTTTAAAATAAGGACTTTAAAAATAGTACTTAAGGGCCAGTAAGTGGTATGAAGGTTAAGGCAGCTGGATCACATATGGCTGATTGTAGTTTGCATCCCAGACCTGTAGGTTTAAAAATCACACTGGGTGCATGTGCATGCATGCCCCGAATCCTGAGAGGACAATTGAGGAGAAGGGATTGCGGCGCGGGCATCCCCTTTCGGGCTGTGATTTTTCACTTTCTGTCTCTCTCTGTCTCTCTGTGGCCAGTGTATGTGCCCTGTGACAAAATGAAAGAAAGAAAATCAAAACAAAAACTACTTGAGAGATTAATCAATTGATATTGAAAATCACTTTAGCACTCTAAAGGAACAGGTGTCAGACAAAAATAGTTTTTTGTTTTCTCTTATCTTTTTTTTGAAGTTTGTTTCTGCCATGAGTGAGAGACAGAGAAAGATAGCACCCCCAACAGAATTTCAATGCCACGATCCATATCCTGCCTTCAGCTGGCTCTTGATCACGGGTACTCATGAACCTTATATACGCAGGGAGATCTCTGGACGTGAACTAAGAACCTTCCCATGTGGGATTGCCTTGAAGAGCATCGTGTTTCACTAATTATTACATTACCATCTGGACCCTAAAACTTTTTTCTTCTTCCATAAAAGAGAGACAGACAGACACAACCCCAGGAGGGTCTTCACACTGCGATAGACCTCCAGGCTCAGCCGGCCTGGGTCACAGCACATATGTGCCTGATGTGCACGGTAAGGTCCTATGATCCTCCTGAATAGCTGAGGCCATCGGCGGGCACCACCACATCCATTTTTAGGGCAGGTAGGGAATCAAACCCAGGCCTCCTATGTGGTCTCAGCCTGCCCAGGATCAATCAGCCGGTGTTCGTCACAACTGAGTTAGGAACATTTTAGTGCAATGTCTTCTTAATGATCCTAAGTGCACACTTTCTGGGAATTTCCAACCTGTCCTCATCCATCCCGTCTCTATATTTCTCTGTTCAAAATACATTTGGATCGCTGACTCAAAAACGTACCTTTTTTTTTTTTTTTAAATTTCTAGAGGATCTATGCACTTGCCAGACAAAGAAGGTACCCCTAATGTCATGTAGTCATGCTGCAATCCCTTTTCCTCCATTTCTCCTTTTCATCCCTTCAGGCTCTTGGACATGCATGCAATATGCCTGGAGTGTTTTTCAAGCTGCCGGGGCCAGGATTTGAACTGTAGTCAGCAGTGTTGGATCTAGCTCTTTATGCACAGTGCTTAACTGCTGCACAGCCTGGCCTATCTATTTAAACTGAGTCACAGAGAACATAGCACTAGCTCTGTGGCTTGATGCTGAATTTTTTTGCTTAGCCTAATAGCTACCATGTTTGAGTAGTTACTATCTGCTAGTCATTGTTTTAGGTGCTTTGCATAGATTAAGTTAATTAATGATAGGTGGTGACACTTTCACTCGTTACTTTTTGGGGTACTTGAGTGATTACCCTTAGGAAGAGTGAAGATGAAAGTGGAATTTTTTTTCAAAGAGATTTTTGCTATAGGGCACCTGTGCTCGTGGTAGAGACAGAGAAAGAGAGAGAGAAAGAGAAAAAGTAAGCAGAAGTCACGCCCTAGGGTGGTCATGCCACAATCCCTTCTCCTCCACTCGGGATCTTAGGCACGCATGCACATGTGACTGGCTTGAGTTTCAAGCTGCCGGGTTCAGGATTTGAACCCCAGTCGACTATGTAGGAGTCCAGCAACGTAACCATTATGCCATCTGCTGGTTCCCGAAAATAGAATTTTGATGTAAAAGAACAGATTGAAAAATAACCATCCCGAAACTTGAAAGAAATAATTATGTTTTAAAAATACCCAAAGATGGGGGCTAGCAGGTAGGGTAGTTAAGGCATTGGACACTCTCATATGGCCGACCACGGTTCGAGTGCTGGATCTGGTGGCTTGCTTTTTCATTTGCTCTCTCTCTCTCTAGTCAAATTAAAATGAATGAATAAATAAAAATAAAATAATTCTTTAAAAAAAGTACCCAAAGTCTAGGTATTTGTAATGGTGGCTTACTTTTTCATTTGCTCTCTCTCTCTCTCTAGTCAAATTAAAATGAATGAACAAATAAAAATAAAATAATTATTTAAAAAAAGTACCCAAAGTCTAGGTATTTGTAAAACATTTTACATATGTCTTAAATGATTGGACAGTTTTTAAGGTTTTTGCTGTAGGGCACGTGTGCTTGCCAGAGAGACAGTGAGAGGGAAAGTGAGAAATCGCTGCCCTCAGGGAGGACGGCCACTCCAGAATCCTTTTTCACTCTCCTGAGATTTGGGGCATGCACACACATGTGGCTGGCATGATTTTCCAGCTACCAGGTCCAGACTTGACTTGTGGTCAGACCTGTGGGAGTCCAGCACCTTAAACCACCATACCACCTCCTGGCTCCATGATTGGACAGTTCATTGAAGGGCTGTGTGTGAATGCCATGTCAAGGTTATGGCTAAAGTGGATGTTGGGGGCTGCGTTCTGACTTTTTCTTGTTGGAACATTGTTCAGAAAGAAGTGTTTTTCACTTTTACTTTCAGAATTACCCTGTCCTTTGTGTGTGTCTGTCTGTCTACTTTTGCTTGTTAAAATAGTCCAGTTGGGTCAGATCACAGTTTAACTTTTCTGTCATTGGAATCAGCCCCACAGTCTCATCGCAGGGTCATCATCGTTGAATCGTTAAGTATGCACTCGTATGTGGTTCCACACCCAAAGTCATTTTGCAGAGCTAAATTAGAACCATGAGCTATATAGTTGCCTTTCTAATCAGTGGACTTTCCTCAAGCTATTACACATCTGCGTTAGGAAACGTTTCCTGACAGTGTGTCTTTCTGGTGATGTCCATGCTGCTATGACTGAATAGAAGTTCCAACCTCTCTGGGCCGTCCAAAGCCTAACATGGAGCCCCGAGATGTATACAAGATGTTTATCAGTATGGGGGGGAAAAGGAAAGATCTGAGGTATGAGGTTCTGCAGTGCAGGGAGGCTGGCCAGGCCTCAGTGGGGCTGGCTTGCGCAGGTGAGAAAAGTAGACTCTGGAAAAGAAGAGTGCTTAGTGAGGAGAAACTGAAAATAAGCCAGCCCGGCATTGATAGAGACCGAAACGCTTGGGTTTTAGGGTCTCAAGGCTTTACTCAATGTTTAATTTTGTTAGTTTGTAAGAAAATATGTCCAGCAAAGGCATCAAACAAAACACATTGTAACCGACAAGGACTGTCTTTAGTGTTTGAGGCAATACAGAGAATAGCACTGGAGTGACTTGGGAAGGGCTGCTCTACCCCACTGTTACTCCTCTTCCCTCTGAGTTTTGCCCTTACTATGAAAGAGAGAGGTCAAGTCTAAAGCTCTAAGTGGATTTTTTTTTCTTGTTTTTCTAGTGTTCTCTCAGAGGACCAAGACAGTTACCTTTGTAATGTCACCTTGTTTAGGAAGGCAGTTGATGACTTCAGACACAAAGCCAGGGAAAACAAGTAAGATTATTATTTTTTTATCTTCTTAATTTACTAGATCAGCTATATATGGTATAGACAATTTTGTTTTTTTCTTCAAATTTAGATTCATTGTTCGTGACTTTCAGTATAATGAAGAGGAGATGAAAGCAGATAAAGAAGAAATGAACAGGCTTTCTACTGACAAGAAGAAGCAATTTGTATGTGTCCTTAGTATTTAATATTATCAGTGTTAAGCAAAAGAAAAAGTGGTATTGCTTTTCTTTGATTAAAAGAAAGTAGAACTTGGGGCCAGCAGGTGGCATGGTGGTTAAGTGCACTGGGTTCCCACACAGCCGACCGTGGGTCAAGTCCTGGACCCGGTGGCTTGCTTTCTCACTTTCTCTCCATCTCTGTCTCTGTTCTCTCTAGTCAAATTAAAATAATAATAATGATGATGAATAAAATTAGATAAAATAATTCTTAAAAAAAAGAAAATATAACTTTGCCTTTGAAACATTTGACTTCAGTTATTTTTTTGTCTATTGAATAATCAGACTGAATTTTCTTTAAACAAGCTTAGATCTGTGAGTAGTTCCCTTAAAGTACCTACCTAAGGGACCAGCAGATGGCATAATGGTTACTTTGCTGTATTTCCACGTAGTCGACTAAGGTTCGAGTCCTAGATCTGGCAGCTTAAAACTCACACTGGGTGCATGTGCATGCATGCCCAAGATCCTGAGAGAACGGAGGAGAAGGGATTGTGGTGTGGCCACCCCCACCCCCAGTGGTGTGATTTCTCATTTTCTGTATCTATGCCTTTCTCTGTCTCTCCAGTGAGAGCACCTGCCTTATAGCAAAAATCTCTCTCTCAAAAAAAAAAAACAAAAACAACTAAACTAAACTAAAAGTTAATTACTTACCTAAATCCCTTTCAGAAACTAATTTTAAATGCAGTGTTTCAGTCTTTGTAATGAAAGAGGCTTTTAGTTAAGTCATGAAGTTCTCTCTTATTAGTAAGAATTTTCATTTTCTTCAGGCAAATTTTTCAATATGTCAGTCTTTTATTGAAACAATATCTATTGAACTGTGTAAGAGCTCTGTGCATAATGAGGAATAGGGATGGAGTTGTGAAACGGAAAGATGATGTCAACTCTCTTGCTGTCTTCCATATAAAATTATTATTATTTTTTAAAAGAAAATGAAAAAACACCTCCTTTTTTCTCTGGGGACTGTGGGCACACATGCTTATATGCCTGGCATGTTTTCAGGCTGCCGGGTCTGGGACTTGAACTACATAGTTGACCATGTGGGACCTAGTGGCCCCCTTAACCACCATGCCACTGGCTGGCCCCCAAGTGAAGGATTATTGTAAAGACTGAAAGCTTGTCCAGAAAGGGAAATATGTGATAAGTGGAAATTTGTTTATCTTGTCACACGAGAAAAATAACAGGCAAATTCCACTGAAAATTATTGAGTACTTTATCATCTCAACCGAGAGGAATCTAATCCTTGCCAAGTACTAGCCCATATAACCTACTTGTTAGGGGAGATCCGGAAACCTTTTCATAAGAGAACAGATATTTTGACCCAAGATGTTCCCCTTGGTTGTGTTATCGCTTTTGCTTAAATCAGTTAGTACATCCAAAAGAACCCAATAATGCTATCCCCGTAAGTGTCGGCTGAATTAATAATGTATGTCTTTTAAGTATGGAGAGTAGGTATTATTTCACATGTTTTTTTTAAAGAGATATTAAATCATAGTAAATATTTTATGTTTACAAAGAATTTATATTACATAATAGAATCATTAAAAATTAAAAACTTGACAAGGTTTTAGGGATTTGAATCAATCCCCTTCTTTTACAAATGAGCGAACTAAGTGCCAAGGGTATTAAATTAATGATTCGCCTACATTCCTATTTATCTTTGTTCCTGAGAAGTTGTTTGCAGGTTGAATTCTATTTTAAATGTATTGAACGCTTTAGGGTATTGTGTAGTAAATTTGAATTTTTATATTTTGGTTTTCAAACCTAGGGCACCTCTGTATTTTGTTCCGCTTGTACTACTTTTATTAAAATATGTATCTTTTTCTATGTTAGTAAATTGGCTCAGTGCAGGTTAGTGTTTATTGAAGTTAAATAATGACTAGTCTTTTAAATGTAAAATAGTCCACATGGTGAGAGTAATACTTGAAACATTTTAAAAGTGAATGTGTGACTTAATTTCCTGTAGATTCCTAGTGGGTAGTCACTATCTTTGAAAATATTTGGTCTATCAGGCCAGTCAGTGGCATGGTGGCTGGGGTAGCTATATCCCACACTGGCAACCACACGGTTCAGTGTGGACTTGGCGGCTTGAGAAACACACCAAGCATGTATGCATGTGTGCCCAGAATCCTGGGGGAGTGAGACATGGAAGAAAAGGATTGTGGCGTGACCACCCCTCCGGGGTGCTCTCTCACTCTCCCTGCCCTCTTTCTTTCTGTCTTTGGTGAGTGCTCATGCCCTCAGGCAAGAATTTCAAAGTACATGTATTTGGTCTATTCAGTTGTCATTTTTCAGACCAGAGTTGTAATTCTCTCTTCTTTTTTCTAGGGACCACTTGTGCGGTGGCTGAAAGTGAATTTCAGTGAGGCATTTATTGCGTGGATTCACGTGAAAGCATTAAGGGTTTTTGTTGAGTCTGTTTTAAGGTAAAGATCATTGAGAAACTTGGAACTGAAGAGTTCATAGATTCCTTTACTGTGGACTTCTTTACACAGCAGTGTGAAGTTGATTTAGGAGACCCTAGAGGGCCCATCATGAGCAAGAGATGGTCAAGATTATGTAGCTTATAAAGAGCCGTGTGTTCTTGTCCATTAACGCCAGATTCAGAAGAGATCCATACAGTTACGCTTGCTGGTATTTTCCTTTATGTAGTCAAGTTAAAAGCAGATCATAAAATATTAGCTGATGTTCATTTAAAAGGAACTCTTGCAAGTATTTTACATGTAGTTTGGTACACAGTATAACAATGAGTTATTAAAATTATTTCATATTAACCTAAAAGATTTAAATCTTTTGTGATGCTTAACATCTCAATCATCTGCAATTTTCCACATGTTGCTCATATATGGAATAGTTTTTTTAAAAAAATGAACCTTGTCTGTACCCATGCTCGCTCCTTTTAAATATCTTGAGATTTTTAAAGGAGGTGAGCGTAATCTCTTGTTTATTATCATAAAAGTATTAACCTTATATATTATCCTTATTTCCGGAGGGTATTCACAAATTACTTTAAAAATTGAATAGTAATTAAAATAAGTCTTACTAACCCACTCATTTTAAAGAGCGATCGCTAATGGAGAGTTGGGACCGGGAGACCTGTGTTTCTGTATGGTAATGTTTCCGTGTACCTGCGTTGGTGGAATTTGTAAAAGCAGTCAGTAAAGGGAGATCCTCTTGCCATTAACCAGGAGTAATGGGTAGCATGGAAGTATTTGCCTTCTAAAGACAATCTCTTCATGGGCCTGCTTGCGTTGCATACTGTATTTCTGCTTCCTTGGAAGGTATGGCTTGCCAGTGAACTTCCAAGCGATGCTCCTTCAGCCGAATAAGAAGACAATGAAGAAACTGCGAGAAGTATTACATGAATTGTATAAACATCTAGACAGCAGCGCAGCAGCCATTATTGATGTAAGTGCTTCTTTGCTAGCCTTGTAGAGGGGGATTTGGAACGAACTGAGGAAAAAAAAGTTATTGGGAGAAGCTAGAAACGGGATAGTAAATATCATCGTATTTACTCATTTTTGTCATTCGAGCTTCTCAGTTTATTAGGTAAACGTAGTAAGTAACTTGTAGTATTTACTCTGTTTTACACTAGTCACAGCTGTGCTCTGCTTCCTGTGTATTATGAGATGTTCATAACTGCAGAAATGCAGAAACAGCCATTGATACTAGTTGTCTGTAGAAGGTATAAATTGCAGAGAGGAAGAAAATAAGTACAATTGGTTAACTTTATTTAGTAGAAGTAGTGGAGTCAACAGGTGAGCATTTTAAGGAAACTATCTTTCTAAAGGAGTATATGTCTGTATCTTCTTTTAAATAAAAGAATATGTTTGTCCTTTGTTGTGATGGCTTAAAATTGTGAGCTTTTATTTTATATTTTTGATGTTATATACCTTGCTGATTTTTTCCTCTATAGTTAAGAATGTCAGTATCTCATGTTTACACTAGTCAGAACCATGAAAAAGTAGTTTTTTAATTAAATTGTCAGAAAAGTCATAAACTACTTTTTGTATGTTTTTCTCTGCAAAAATGCATAATGACTTTTTTAAAAAAAATTTAAATTTTTATTTATTTATTTACTTAAATTTGACCAGAGAGAGACAGAGAGCCAGAGAGCGAGAGAGAGAGAAAGCACAAGCCAGCATGTCCGGGACTTAAACCGTGGTTGGCATTATGGGGGTGTCCAGTGCCTTAAACACCATGGCACTTGCTGGTCCTGCATCATGACTTTCCCGATGACCCAATAGATGGAAGAAAATGTAGGAAATGACTTCCTACATTGTCATGGAATTGTGGATAAAATGCGAAATATAACCATTTGATACAGGATTTCCTACCAACAGATTCTCACACTATGCATAATATTAATAAGTGTGATCCTTGAGCTCATACTTAGTTTTTAAATTTACTTTTTAAAGAATTATTTAACTTTATTCATTTACTTATTTATTTTAATTTGATCAGAGAGGGACAGAACAAGAGAGAGAAAGAGAGATAGAAAGGCTCCAGATCCGAGACTTAAACCACAGTTGGCCATGTGGGAGTCCAGCACCCTTAACCACCATGCCACCTGCTGGCTCCCAAATCATACTTGGTTTATTTATTTATTTATTGAGAGTTTTTTTTTTGTTGTTGTTATAGGGCACGCATGCTCACCAGAAAGGCAGAGAGAGACAGAGAGACAGAAAGCGAGAAATTACCCCCCAGGGGGTATGGCCACACCACAATCCCTTCTCCATTCTCTCAGGATCTTCGGCGCACATGCACTTGGCGTGAGTTTAAGCCACCAGGTCTGGGACTTGAACCACATTTGACTTCATGGAAGTCCAGAAACATAGCCATTACTAGTCCTATACTTGGTTTATTTTTATCTAACATTTTGCAAGCCTTATATCTCATAAACTCTGTAACCTAAGTCTGAGATCGAAAAATGATTTTTTTCCAGTACATAGGAAAGGGTGGTAGATCATGGTCAAACACTTAACAAACTGTGGAGCCAAAGTGCAGGATTCCAGCTTCACTACTTACTGGTTTCCTAGGGAAAATCAGTGTTCCAGTCGTCGTTTCCTCTTTTGCAAAACAGAGAGAATGATGCCCTAACTCAGATTAAATTAGCATACATGCTCAAATTTAGCCCAAGGTAAATGATGATTTTTTTTCTTTTTCGTGTTCTATAAGTATATAATTGGAGACTCGTCTGGTTTTTCCAAAGGCTCCCATGGATATCCCAGGCTTAAACCTGAGTCAACAGGAATACTACCCCTACGTGTACTACAAGATTGATTGCAACTTGCTGGAGTTCAAGTAAAACGGCTCGGCCCCGCCCACCCTGCCCTCGTGTTGGTGTACGCTAACAGAAACAGGTTGCAGTATGATAGTACTTTTAACTCTGCTATCCTTTGCTTGCTTCCTACCCCTTTTCCTAGGTGAGTTCTTCCACAGTGGTCCATATCTCATTTTCTTTTTAAAGGAAAATATATTGTTTCTTTTTATTGATCAGGTCTGTAAATGTGTACTAAAATGAATCAGAGTTTATTTATAAACAGAATAGTTTATTTAAAGAGAAGGTCTTTTCCTCACTGATATCGTGGTATGCATTAATTCTATTTGTTTTTATTGTGCACAAAAAGCCTTGTTTACAAGGGAGTGGTGTAACCGTTTATACCATTTTGTTCACTGTATTTAGTAGACATACTGTCTAATAGTTACTGAGTCGTGATGTAAAGAAATGTGACAATATTCAGGTACATGCTTTCCGAATGTTTCAAATTACAATCTCTGAACACTGTTGACACCCACAGGAGAGAATAAAATGACCTGTGCAAAGGTGCATTGTGGCGTGTGTCACTCCAGAGGATTCCAGTTCAATTTGAGAGTTTAATAAATGTTGTCGTAGCTAACTTGCTATGCTACTTTCAGGAATTTTGTTACCTGTTGAGGTGTGGCCATTGGTGTCTGACTTGCATATGATTTAATTGTGCCAAATTTGGGTCAGAACACAAATACGAAGGTTATTTTTCAGTGTATGATGGACATTTCCATTTGGACACTAGACTTTTTCTTCTCTCAAATGATTAAGTGGGGCCAGTTTTAAATATAAAGTATAGTGTAACTGTAACATGGCTTCAGTTACTTGTTTTGCCTAAGTCTTTATTTTACAGCTTTCTTTTTAAAGATCTATGATTATAAAAACATTTCAATATGTATGTCATTTATGACATAATCTGCAAATAGAGACTTTGACACCCTTTAAAATCTCTGAAAGGGGCCAGGCGATGGCACAGTGGTAACACAACTGGACCAATACGGGAAAGGTCCTGGGTTTGTGTCCCGGGACCTCCCTGAACATGCTGGGGGTGTGCGAGCACGCGCACTGAGATCTAGGCTGGCTCAGGCTGAGGATGGATTGTGGCGCAGATGCCCTGTTGCCCTCTTAGAAGAAATAAACAACAACAAAAAAGTATCTGAGATGAATGACTTGGTTTAGCACCTGAAAGATCTTTTAAAAGAGGTTTTGTAGGGACCAGCAGATGATGGTTACTTTGCTAGACTCCCATGTAGTTAACCATGGTTTGAGTCCCGGACCTGGTGGCTTAAAACTTACGTCGGGTGTATGTGTGTGCCTGCCCAAAATCCCAAGAGGAAAATGGAGAAGGGATTGCAGCGTGGCCATCCCTGCTGGGGGGGGGGGGTCTTACTTTCTAACTCTCTGTCTCTCTGGTGAGTGCAAACTCCCTATAGCAAAAAATCTCACTTAAAGATAAAAAAAGAGGTTTTGTGGCAGTGCTGCCCTTATTATATATTCACAGGCTTGTGAATGGGAGAGAATAGTTTATATTTTATTTTAAGGGCATTTCTAAACTATTCTATTCCCTTTAGAAAATTGGTCTCAGGGGCCAGCAGATGACATAGTGGTTAAGGCACTAGACTCTCACATGGTCGATCGCTATTCAAGTCCCAGACATGATGGCTCGAAAGTCACTCCAGGTGCATGTAACATGCATGCCCCAAATCCCAAGAGGGAACTGGAGGAGAAGGGATTGGGGCATGGCCATTCTCCCTTGGGGATGGTTTCTCACTTTCCTTCCTCTGTGTCGCTGACTCTCTGGCGAGTGCATGTGCCCTATGGCAAAATCCTAAAAAGGAAAAAAAAGAAATTAGTCTCTGAAATATTTTTCTTTTCTTTTTTAATGAGAGAGGGAAAGA